TGAAGGAAATTACAGTATGTAATTCTAAAACTTGACAACAGCTTTCAATAAAATAGTAAAAGATACTAACTACTCTGCCCACTTGATCAAAAGGCTGAAGGCTGACATTTAATCTTCTCCTAGCATCCAAGCATATTCTCATACCCTGGGTATTTTTACTTATGACCATATACTTGCTAAAGCTTTTTAGATTTCAAAACATAGCCATATACTAATCTAATATGATTAAGATAATGCATGTGAAATTATCTTAGTTGAGACAAGAAACCATAGCTCTAAAAAGCCATAATTCGTATTAATCTGATATTAAATAATTGATTAAATGCTCTATTTAGAATCTTGCCTAAAACTATCAAATTTAGTTCTGTCAGATAAGCTAGATTCAGGGATGATGGCTTGTTGCCTAAGTAAACAGTTTTATATACATTATTGTCAAGAACATACAGCCTTGAGCTTTTTAACATATTTTTTTTTTGTCTTAAGAGGTGATTTTTATTTTTTTACTTTAAAAAATCCTCCATTTAACGTATTTTTAAGCATAATAACATTTTGTTTTCTCTTGAGAGTGCAGGAATCTTAAATTCATGTGAGGTAAATGAGTCAGAGGGCAGGTAGAAGAATGGGGAGTGGAATAACGTTTGGAAAATGAAGGCTACAGGCCTAAACATCTTCAAATTCTGTTCTATAACGTATGTTGTACAAGCCAAGAAAAACAGTTATGAGCCTTAGTTTCCCCTTGAGCTTCTAGATTGCTACAGCCACTGTTTTTTTTTTTTTATGTATCATTTTGGTTTTCTTAAAACTAATCTTTTAAAACCTTAAATTTCTAAACTTATGCCTACATACTTGCTTAAGATTTGGAAAAAAAAGAACTTAAATTGAGCTTTTCCTCTTGATATTTAAATAGCCTTTTAATGCTTTGCAGGGAGTGGGCATAGGAGATACAAGTATAGATTGTTCTATCACTCAGCCAAGCCTGTTTCCCTGAAGGGCTGTGGTCGGTATAGGAAACCCTCCAGCTCTTAGCCTAGTCGACCTGTGTACGCATGAGTAGCATGGAAATAGAAGGGTTATTTCTGTAACGGCATGTTTGGACAGGCACTGCTAGTTTCTCTTTATGTAGGAAAGTCTAATTCTATACTTTTATCGCTTTTTATCATCTCCCCCCTTCAGAAATATTTCAAAGATTCATGAGTGTAAAGAGAAGATGCTATTTTGTAATCCTACATACAGGTTATTCTATTTTTTCCTTTCTAAGCTCTTGATATCATGAGATACTTCATGAAGTGTCTCATGGTATCACAGACGGTATTAAGTCCTACTTTAATATTTGTAAAAACACCAATGAAATGCACAATCACTGGTGGCACTGTGCAAATAGTTACGGCACCAATAATTACAAAAATTAAATACAAAGTTATAAAAATGGAAAGTCAAAACATTTTTTTTTTTTTTCGGGGAAGTGGAAGACTGAAATCTGAGAGTCTTTGGTGGGTAAGTCTGTTCAGATTTAAAGAGGAGCAACTTTATAATGTGTAAGCAACCATGTGACATAATTAGACATGATTTACAATAAGATGGGAAGGTGGACTGATGGATCTTGATGCTTACCGAGAGCAGGTCATGAGAGTCCCTGGAGCAGGGGTAGTGTCTTTCACTGTTCCCTGACAGCAGACACAGAGACAGTCCATCTTAAATGTTATGTACATACATAATAGTATATAAAATATCATAGAACCCTATAATTTTTGCGGGAGGTAAAATCATCAATTTATTGAGATATTACAGTCATGTGTTGCTTAAGGACGGGGACACCTTCTAAGAAATGAGTTGTTAGGCAATTTTCATTGTTGTGTGAACATCGTAGTTACACAAACCTAGATGGTACAGCCTACTATAAACCTTGTCTATATGGTATAGCTTATTGCTTCTAGGCTATAAGTATGTACAGCATACTATTGTACTAAATACTGTAGGAAATGGTGACACAATGGTAAGTATTTGTGTATCTAAATGTAGAAAAGGTACAGTAAAATATGGTATAAAAGATAAAAAATGGTACACCTGTATAGGGCATTCATCACGAATGGAGCTTGTAGTACTGAAATTTGCTCTGGGTGAGTGAGTGGCGAGTGAATGTAAAGGCCTAGGGCATTACTGTACACTACTCTAGACTTTATAAACACGATATACTTGGGCTGCACTGAATTTGTAAAAACATGTTTTTCTTTCTTCAATAATAAATTAACCTTAGTGTACTGTAACGTTTTTACTTTATAAAATTTTAAATATTTTTAGCTTTTTGACTTTTGTAATAACAGTTTAAAACACACATTGTATGGCTGTACAAGAATATTTTCATTATTTATTCCATAAGCTTTTTTCTATTTTTAAAACTTTTAGTTAATTGATTTTTACTTTTTCAACTTTTTTGTTATAACGAAGACACAAATGCACACAATAGCTTAGGCCTACGCAGGGTCAGGATCATCGACGTCACTCTCGCCCACCTCCACATCTTGTCCCGTGGGAAGGTCCTCAGAGGCGATAACATGCATGGAGCTGTCATCTCCTATGATAACGATGCCTTCTTCTGGAATACCTCCTGAAGGACCTGTCTGAGGCTGTTTTACAGTTAACTTTTTTTTTTATAAGTAGAAGAAATATACCTTCAAATAACAATAAAAATGTGTATATTTTATGCAAAGGTATACTTTTTGACAAGGGTTTATATGGTAAATACATAAACCAATGACATAGCCATTTATTATCAAATATTATGTACTATACATATTTGTATGTGTTCTGCTTTTATAGAACTGGCAGTACAGGTTTGTTTACACCAGCAATATTACAAACACGTGAGTAATGGATTGTGCTACCTCCCCACGATGGCTGTAACATCATTAGGTGATAGAAATTTTTTAGTTTCATTATAATCTCATGGAATCACCTTCATATATGTGGTCTTTCACTGACCGAAACGTTATGCTACACATAAATGTATGTCATGTTTTATATTTATAGGCTGTGTTATACTCGAGAGTACCTTTAAAGTTTTAAAAATATATTTTATATTTATTTTGTGTCCATATTTATACTATTTCAATTTAAATTATTTTATATTTTAATTATTATATTTTGATTACCTAGTTGCCCCTAGGAAAGGCAATATAAATCTGATGTCATTTATCTTTCTGCTCTCTCTGCCCCTTTCTGTGCAGGAAGTCAGGAACTTGCATATTTTTCCTTTGCTACTTAATTGGCCTCAGAAAGCTCAGTCAGGTTACTGGTGGCGTCAGCCTTTGAATGATTAATGATTTCTCATTAGCAGTCCACCCTTCTCTGCCTTGTTCTCTATCCCAGGAGGATGGCCGTACAGACTGTAACACGTGGGTTCCCTGGCTGGGAGATTTTGGTTGGGTTCCGCTGATTCAGCACATGGAGGAGGGAGGTAGGGGCCCTACCCTGTTCTCTCCCCGCTAAGCGCTGCATTATCTGGCAGTAGTTACATTTCTGCACAACAGCAGGTCCTGTCAGGTGTCCTTTCCTCCATGTCCCAACTCTTACTCAGGCTCTGGGATCATTATTTTCTCCCTTTCCTCCATAAAATTAGGCCCACTACTAGCTCCCCTGGGAGACCCCGAATGCCTCAGTACTCCTTATTGGTCCTTTTAAATACTGTCCACTCTCTTTAAGTAGATCCTTTATTCATTTTTTTTTTCTTTTTCATAAAGAGTCTCTGTGTCTTTCTGGGAACCTGACTTATCAGTTGTTGGTAGATGATAAAATATAGGCTAGAGTGATAGTCTTTATGACAGCAATAGGTGCATTTTGTTGATCAAAAATTTTATTTGTTAGATGCGCTGGTTAGATCAGGATTGGTTCCATCAGAATCACTGAAGTTTATTTCTTCTAAGAGCTCGGAGTAGTTTGGAAAATATCATTTCTTGCGTCTTCAACCAAAAAGCGAAAGGAATTTTTGCCAAAGACTCTGAGAGGTCGTGCTGCTTACTGTAGTTGGATAGGGGGTTGTGACTGGGATAGTGGCATTGAGCAACAGGGTGCCGGGAGGATGAGTAATGATTTGAGTAGTATCTTCAGTAGGTGCCATGGGGGTGGTGGGCTCCTTGGAAGTGTCGGTGTGTGCTGCGGCAGTGGTGGTGGGTTTAGAGGTGATTATTGTTGCAGCGGCGGTGGTTGTTTGTATTTGGGGTTTAGGGTTAGAAATAGTAGGATGTGCAGGAAATGGGGAACATGGGCGTTTTGGCCCCCTAATAAGTCTTGGACGGTAAGGTCTTGATTGGAAAGGTGGATTTGGATAACCTGGAAAGGGCGGAGGTCCCAGTGGAAAGGGCTGAGATGGAACTCGCCCTGGGCCAAAGTGAAGAGGAGGAGGCGGATTAAGTACGAAGCCATGGAGAGGAGGGGAACGTGGCGGAACCCTTCTTGGCCTGTAGGGCTGAGGAGGTGGCAACTGGTCAGGTGGATGGAGTTGCCTGGGGTCTCTTTGACTCTCACTGGGCTGTGGAGATAAAAAAAAAAAAAACAAAAAAACAAAAAAACAAACACCATGATTTCTAAATTTGATGATTTCAAGTGTAAACATTAAGATATACTGTATACTTTTAAAAGTCATATATTTCACTGAGAAAATAAATTAGAAAAAAGAAGTTATAGAAAATTTCCCTTCCCCTGGAAGTCTGGGCACTCAAAGAAAAGTTAGGATGGTGTTAAATAAGAAAAAAATTGACAATTTTGCCATCTGACCTACAGGTTTTAGAGGGGGCCAAACCACCTTGATGGGCTATAAAATAGACCATCTTTGGAAATAGCGTCAAATAGAGGTCAATGCCCCAGTGGGACTATCTCAGAAAGTTCTCTTACTCCATTCCAGGAACTGAGTGAAATTTCAGGGTCAGAACCATTAATGAATTGTATAACTATTAAACTATTAGATGTAACACCTCTTTCTAGAGGCGAAGGGGAACAGATTTAAGACCCTTCCTTACATAAGTCTGAAATCTAGTAGAAGAGAAAACTCATCCCCCTCCCCTCACCAAACTACAAAAGAAAGTATTACAATAAAAAGCCCATGGGAGGTAATGTAGTATGTTGGTTAAGATCGAAGATACTGGAGTCTGATTGCTAGAGTCAGTCCTCACCCTGTTGTATGCTACCTGGGTGAGTTGTATACAGTCATCTCTGCTATTTCTCATTTCCCAAATGGTTCTAGCAATAGTTCTCACCTTATGTATTGGTAGGTAGGATTATATGTAATCTATGTAAAGTATTTTATGTGGGTAAGTACATATATCTTACCTTAGACATGGTAAGGTATAGTAACAGTTCAATATAAATTTGAACTATTTTGTACTCTATGATTAATAAGCATGGTGGTCTGTAAATGGTAGAAGTTCAAGATACAATTGATGAATACAAAAATTCTAGAAATTTAGAAGGAAATGCTGATTTTGATAAATAAGGGTTAAGAAGATAACCCTTATGGAGAAGATAGCATTTGAAATAAAATTAAAATAATAGAGTTGAAATGAGCGGGAAGAAGCCAAATTAAAAGAATATCATAAGCAAATGAACAGAGTCAGGAAAAGTAAAGTCTTACTCTTGGGGCAGTCAGAAGATCAGTTTACCTGAAACAGAAGTTTTGGGAAGGGATGAGAATCTGGTCATTCTCCTGCAACATTTAACTCCTTCCTTCTGTGTCTGTGCCATATTGCCCTTGGAGATATCACACTTTGGATCAACTCTGTACAAACTACCTTCCCTGTATCTACTTCCAGGGTTATGAACATTGCTGGAGAATGTCACAGCCCCTAAGTGTTAGCAACACTAGAGACTCATAGTATTTATCTTCATCTGGTGCCTGAGCACTGGTAAACCATTTTCCCCCAGAGTCTATCTTCTCAACATCATCTCACTTCTACCCTTCCTACTCTCTCATACATGCAACAGAAGATGACCTTGCCTTCTGTTTCACATAACTGAGGCTATCGCATGTGAGAACTTCTCCCCCCCCCCTTTTTTTTTACTACACCCCCATAACATGCACCGATATCTAGCTATTCTCTCTTCATGCTTAAGACCAGCCTCTTCACCTGTGTTCTATATGTACATCTTCTCCCTCCTTGGGGTCTTTCCTATCTTAATTGTCATTTTCCCTTCTTGTAACTTAAACCTCTTTCTAATCCCTGGTTCTATTCTTTGAGTCTGTAATATTGATTTACATCTCATACATTAAAGAATCCCATTCTCGACCTAGGGTACCACTATAGATATCATTACTAGCTTATCTCTTTCCATTCCTAGCCAAATATTGTGGAAGTCTAGACTAGATTTTCTGTTTCCACTTCCTGTTTTCCTATTTATCCTGGTTTCTGCTTCCAACACACAACTGAATCACTTTTTCAAAGATCAGTAATGACTCAAAAATTAGAATTTTCAGTCATTTCAGAGGAGGCCATAGCCATGTTTTTGTCACGTGACCTATTTTTCTCTGGCTACATTTATTTGGGTTATTTCTGGACAGTTGACCCCAAGACTTCCAAACCACTTGCTATTCGGGATCCTGGGCTATGTGGCTAGATGAAGAAAGATAAGCCAGGTTTATAAAATTCTCTTTCTCTTTGTAACCTGAAATACAAAATATGGAGATCTCCCAGTTAGAAGTGGGAACTAAAATGTGAATATTGTGAAGATGAAAAGAGCCAGACAGAGGCTGGGCATTAAAAGGGCCACATGCAAACTAAGTGATGAGACCATGAGCAAAGAGGGCATCTCAGAGTGGGAACAGTGCAGGGAGAAGCAGGGATGCCATGAGAAATAGAGACTGATTTTTAGGACTGCCTGGGTTTGCTATGCTAGTTCTAATTTACGTTTATTCTTGCATTGACTTCCTTTTTCTTGAAATATCACGAATGGAACCTGTTCTCTGCAACCAAACAAAAAAACCTATAATACCAGTGATTCAACTTCATCTTTTTCCACTCCCTGTGCATTCTCATTTTGGCCATGTCGAACTATTACCAGTCCTTTCAACGTAAGGAACTCTTTCCCATCCCCATTCCTTTGTACAAACGTTTCCTCTAGAAAGAATGCTTCACTCCCTCCCTAATTTCCATTTACCTGGCAAGCTCATGGTCTTCCTTCAAAATGTTTGAGTAGCTTCATTTTCCTCCCAATAATTTAATTTGAAAATTAAAATAATTGTATGGCAAATATCTTCCTACAATATGCAATCAACTAAAATTTTACTTTTGTGAAACTGTCACTCTAGCCAAAAACAAATGTCATCACTTTCTCTTCACTGTGATAGTAATTTTTTTTTTTTTTTGGTATTTTTCTCGTCTTTTAAACCATGTGCTATTTCATTGCTGTTGGAGGAATACATTTTATCTTCCTCAGCTTTGTATCTCCAGCATCTTAGTGCCAGCATCTTTGTGAATAAAAAGGATATTGAGAAATTCCAGGTTAGTTAGGCGTTCTTATTCTTTTTGTTGCTTTAGCACTTTTATTATAATACTTATAATCTCTTATAATACTGTACAATATATTAATTCTTAACTACCTCAAACAATATCTCTATATTGTTCATCTTTCTACCTCTAGTTCCTGGAACCTTCTAGGTCTTTGGTAAATGTTATTGAATAAATGGATGTGGACTCAATTAAAATTCTGAGATCTTAAGTCATGGCCACTACCATTACTGAAGATATAGGTACCAAGAGGAAAGGAATGAAGTAAATTTTAATACGTTTGAGTTTGAAAACCATGGAAGTTTGTAAACGCAGATTGAAATCACAGAGATGGAGAAATAGATCTAGAAAGTACTATTTATTGGATCACATCAATAAATGAGAAAGTAATGAGGAAGAAGAAATGGCTGAGGACAGAAACTTGGAGACAAGAGGAAGCTGAGCAGCTAGTGAATGAAAGTGATGAACAAAGACATAGCAGGAAATCCAGATGTGCGGTATCCTGGAAATCAAACCCACAGTGAGCTTCACCGAACTGCTCCCTGGACCCTAAGAAGAGTGGGGAGAAATCAAGTGGAAAGTTAAATACTTGGCAGCAAATTGGTGACCTCCATCTAAATAATTTCTATCATTTCCTATTTTCTTAGCACTTCTTACCAACTAGCTTCCCTTCTCTATGGGCCAAAGGTAGTGAACTCTGGAATTCTAGAAAAATGATGGAAGTGCCTTCTTAAGGGGGTCTACATTTTGGGTTACTCACCTTTATAAAGGAAAGGCTTATTGGAAATACAATAAGAAAGCTGGGTATTTTGAATTTCATTTTGCTTCTTTGTTAAGAGAGGATCATAATAATAGTTGTCACACTGGATTTCTGGGGAAATTAAATAATACACTTTTGTAAGATACTTTTTGGCATAGATTGAACACTCCATAAGAGGTGGCTTTTAATATTATTATGTAGGCTGCCAATATTCAAATTTGATTGTGCTTTCTGCAGTTTTAATTGTTCTGAATCATCAAAAGTGATTTAATGACATGAATTCCACAAGGACAGAGATTTTTGTCTGAGTTGTTTGTTATTACAGTTCTAGCACTTAGAATTGTTCATGATAATTAGTAGGAGCTAAAAGTATTTAGTGGATGAAAGAATATATTTAAAGTAACTAGTTGAAGAAATAATTCTAAAAGCACTAGGAGTGTTAAATTATTAAGTCACAGGATTTTTTCTTTTCCAACTTTGATGTTTTAATCCTTGTTTAAGTGTTAATTAACCAAAGCTAGTATCTGATGCTTAGAATCTTTAAACAAATATAAATAGTTTATCCTAAAATCTGAGGAATAACAATGTCAAAACCAACTTCTAAATCCGATCATTAAATATGCTTTTGGATAATCTATCCTTGTTCAAGTTCATGAGAGAAGACGGAAGACCCAAAATTTTATCCATTAAAATGACTTCTTCTTAGCAGTTATTTTTTTTTTTATTTCAGTCTATTATGGGAGTACAGATGTTTAGGTTACGTGTGTTGCCCTTGGTTCCCCCCGCCCCCCGAAGTCCGAGCTTCAAGTGTGTCCATCCCTGGGATGGTGCGCATCGCACTCTTTGTGTATGCATATACCCGTCCCCTCCTCCCCCTTCCCCCTCTCCGACATCTAATAGATGTTATTCTTATATGTGCGCTTATGTGTTGATCGGTTAATACCAATTTGATGGTGAGTACATGTGCTTGTCTTTCTACTCTTGGGATATTTCACTTAGTAGAATGAGTTCCAGCTCTATCCTTTAGCAGTTATTTTTAATGGTATTTATTTTTCATTTTATCCTTGATACTTGGGTAATATGAGTCCTTCAGTACACATTCTATCTTGAAATGTATTTGGCTTTATCCTCTGGTTTAGATCTAGTGTATTGAGAAAAGTATTAGTTTAATATTTTAGTAACAAATCAGTGGGGAAAATTTTAAACTTTTCTGAAGTATACCAGAGAATTTTGGTTTTAAAAAACAAATCTTCAGTGTGGGAAAATATTTCACTTGCTATGCATTATCGACACAAACAAAGAATTAGCTAAGAGTACCTGAGGCCAATTACAATTGGTATCCAATGAAGAATTGTCACTCCAAATATCTGTTCTTTGCAGAAATCTCCACAAAAACTTTATAAATGTTTTAAATGCAATATGAATAATTAGAAAGATTGTGATGTATCTAATAAGTTGTTTATAATTCTTGAACAGATTTTGGTTAAGATAAAATGGCACTGATTTTTTAATGTTACAATGCAAATTAAATGAATTTTCACTTTTCCTGCCAATTCATTGTTTCATGATCTTATATAATTTTTCAGAAATGTTACTTTTACAGTTTATTTTTTTATGTACAAACAATACTTCAGGTTTTAGTTTTCAAATGCTGTGTTCTAGATTGATATAGTTTTAATGCCGGATTAGTGAGTCAACACATGTTACGCCTAGGATTGGTAATAGCAATCCAAAATAGAACCATTCCTGTTTTGTGAACGTTATCTTTCTTTGGTCTTATAATGCCAAAAATCAAAAGTCACACGTTTTGAAGAGAGAGTGTTTCATAGTGGTTATGAACTTACGTGTATTCTTTCTCCCTCCCTACCTTCTTTCCCCCTCTTTCTTTGATTCTTCCCTCTCTTCTTCCCTCCCTTCTTTCCTTCCAGGAAACATTTGTTGGACACCTATTATGAATGTTGGGCATACATCTGTCAACTAAATAAGGTCCTTGCCTTTATGGGGATTTTATTGTAACTAGGGGTAGCAGACAAGAAACAAAAAGTGATGTATATGCACAAAAACTGACATGTGCGATC